ATTGTGAATGAGAGTGGGTGCACGAAGCGATCTGGATCGGATTGGCATACTATGGGAAAGTATGAGAATTCTTGCAAACTGGTGGAGATTACATTGCAAAGTGCCTCCACCCTTGGACAGTGGAAGCGCTGTATGAACCAGCACTCTGGATGAAACTGAACAAAATTTCTCTACCCAGATTCATCCACCTGCCTGGCCTCAATAGGGTAGTATATGTCAAACAGGAGGATGCCAAACAAGTGTGCCAATTCTGCTACCAGACCGGCCACACAATGGTTCAATGTCACCACTGTAAAGGTAGAACTACATAGAATATGAATATGACCCCATTGGGGGAATCACCAAGGTGGGTACCAAGACTTTCCTCCGCCTGAAAGCCAGAGAATGGATCCCGAGCAACTTAACAGAGGTAGCATATATGAAACGCCAGTGACAAGAATTAGACCTGGCACATAGAGAAGCATGGGAATGGGAAATGGCAAAATGACCCAAAGTGGACGATGAACCATTTATAAATCCAAACCCCAAATCTTATGCAATGGATGAGGGAACCATCCCAGGACTAACAGAGAAACGTCCAACCCAAGTGGAATGGACGGTCTGGGAGGAGGAAAGATGGCAGAAGACAAACCTGAAAAAGTCTCACAAACAAGGGCGGATGCAGGATACCAGTAAGTTGAAATTGAAGTCCAACAAGATAAAGGGAATACAAAAACAAATTGGAAGTCATCAACAAATAAGCCCATGGTGACTGGCAAAAAATTAGCAGGAGCGACAAAATTGACAAAATGGGCTGGGCAATCACCAACTAAAAATCGAGTTCTGCTGATAAATCAAAAAAGGGGTGTGAATCCAGCTGATGGATGAGGGAGAATCTGCTGGTATGCCCATAGGGAATAAGGGGCACCCAGACCCAATCATAAAACCATCCCCATTAACCATTAACAGGGAGATGGGGATGGCAACCAAATTCTCAGTGCACAAGATGCCCGAGAATATAATCCCAGTCCCAATCAACTGACCCTGAAAACCAAATATTGCACCCTGCCAACCATTGACACCACCACCATCAACCTACAAGAACTCAGTACGAGACTTGATCCACAACCCAGACAATGCTAAACCTCATACCCATGGGTCAGGCAGCTGGAAATGAGGTTAGTGACTACAAATGCTCGGGGGATGGAGAGCATACATATGAGGTGGAGGAAAATGAACCATTTAAATTCTTATAATATTATTGACCTAAATTTTACTTCAGAAACACAAGCTGGTAATCAAAAGAAGATGGTGCTGAGCTCAAACTGCAATGTGAAAAACCACCCGTGGTCCCACCAGATAGGCTACCAAGCCCTATGGATAGACCACATGGCGATAGTCACAATGGACTAGAAAATAGACCTGGAATATATGGAAGAAACTCACGCTTGTAGGATCTTGATAGCGATGGCTACAAACAGAGATACTGGCAGGAGCATACGTCTGGTAGCAGTCTATGCCCCGCCAAAGCTCCATGAAAGCAGTATTTTTTTTGGAATTCTTAGCGTATGTGCCATCTGAAGCAATGACCATAATAGAAGGCAACCTGAAATGTTGGATGAATGTGAGCCAGGATACATACCTGACAAGAGAATGGCCCAACAGTAAAGCTGACGAGATGCTCAATTACCTAGTCAAATTGGGGATGTGTCTAATGATTGACAAAGAGGTTGACGACCTGGCCAATCTAACATGGTGGTCATATGACGCCGCCAGATCCCCACTGTCAGGATCACATATAGACTACATCCTTGTATCATTGAACCTCAGGCCGATGACATCCAACAGCAAGGTTAGCATAAATGCTGAAAGTGACCACATGGTCATCTGGGTGGAGATCAACCTTGATGAACCTCCGAGGAACTACGAGTGGCAACTGGAACAAGCCACGCTGAGGAACAGAGAATGGTGCAGAATTCTTGACGCAGGACTGGATCAAGTGGTAGCGCATCTGGACAACCACCTGGAGTTGGACCTGCTATAATGATGGACCTGGATCAAAGCAAAAATGAAACATGATAGTATGAATTTCAAAAAAGCGACCTCCTACAAGTGAACAGCCGCTGTGAAGCAACTGAACTCTAAACCAGAAAGGCTGAGGCTTACCCATAAGGACAGCAAAGACTGGTGGAGCGAGTACTGAACAACACACAAAAATTATTGGGCCATAATGATGAAGCAAGACTCAGAGAGACAGACCAATGCAACTTACTGATATCAGAGCCTAGCGGGGACAATGACCAAAATGGGCCTGAAACACCTCAAGGAAATCCTAACTAAGTCCAGGGTACGAGAAGTGGAGACAGCGGATGGGGAAGTATCAACAGACCCTGAAAAAATCAAGCACGAGGTCAAGCTTTTTTATGGCGATCACTTCAGACAAAGAGAAATGAGTGAATCGGCGACAAAAAAACTTATTGACCTGGCCAAGCTGGCACTGGGTGGCTGTATGCCGGAAGACATCACCAAGCTATCCGCCAAAATCTCTATTGACGAAGTTAAGAGGGCACTAAAGGAGTCGTCAAGAATGAAAGCACCAGGCCCCAACAATATGTGTGCAGAAATATACAGCATATTCTGAGACTGCATATCGCCAGAGCTCAAAGCTCTTTTTAACCACTGCTTGAACAATGGCAAACAAATTCCGGGAGGCCATGAGACCCAAAGTGTACTTCTGTACAAAAAAGGCCTCAGATGCCAACTTTGGAACTGGCGCCCAATTGCACTATCGAACACCAATTATAAACTGCTCACATGCATATTATCTAATTGGCTGATGGCAACAGCACCGCGCACGCTCCATAGTGCCCAGCACGGCTTCATCAAAGGCTGTAGTATATGGGACTACATTGGTTCAGTCCAGAGCATACTCCAGGATATGAGGGGCATTGAACAAGGATACCTTATGTTTCTTGGCATGGAAAAGGTGTATGATTGAGTAGCGTGGGCATTCCTAAATGAGGCACTAAAGGCGGTTGGTATCCCCAACAAGTTTTGAGCATGGATAATGATGCTGTACTCAGACCTGGTAACAAAAGTTAGGATTGCAGATGGAGCAACCAATGAAATCCTTGTCAGAAAGGTCTCCGCCAAGGAGACCCTATGTCACCAATACTCTTCAACTTTGCAGCCAACAATTTACTGGCAGCAGCGGACATGAAGCTCCGGGGTTTAGTCCACCCTAACCAAATGCCACTGAAGATGCTAGCATTTGCTGATGATACAATAGTAGGAATAAGCTCCTTGACTGACCTCCAGGGTGCCGAGGAACTATTAAACCTCTATCAGCTCACATTGAACGCAAAAATCAATTTGGCAATTTGGCAAAAACCTCAGTGATGAAGGTTGAAAACTTGAGCTTCAGCCCGCCAACTGACACAGCACCAATTACAAGCTCCCAGACAGTCCAATACCTCAAGATACTCTTCAATAACAAGGGACCAGCGGTACTGGAGACCAAACAAGAAGTATTGTCAAGCTCTCAATCCAAATGACATGCTAGAAAAGTGCCAGATTATGCCTCGAGGAGAAAGTTCAGGTGATAAACATCTTCATCTTCTCGAAGTTGTGGTATGTTGCTCACGTGCTACCCAATGAGCCCAAACTTAGTGAAGAAAACAGGTCAATGCTCCAAACTTTCCTGTGGTTCAAGGCGAAGGCGGCACCAATACCACTGGAAGCCCTGTCAAAACCAAAGAACAAAGGAGGCATGGGCCTCCTGGACTTTGAATCTCACGACCAGCACATATGGGAGAAGTCGTTTCTCAAGCTAACACAGATGCACATGCGCTGCCCAACCTAGCATGGGGCGTGAACTGGGCAAGAGCCCAAGGCCTCCAAGAGCCGGTCTCCCCCCAATCAATACATGAATGGTGGCGAACCACCCGTGGATAACCTCCCAAAAAGGTGCCCCACACTACTGGCGACTATGCAATTGGGCCATGTGCTAGGGCGGGTGGTCATTTGAGCAATTGGACTGAGAGGCCAACCAAATTCAGAGGGACGTCAAAGAATGTAATTCCACAATGATTTCTGAAATGAGCTGGGAGGAGCATAACCAAATCGCTGACAAATATGCAACCAAGTCAATCAGAATAAGGTACAAATTGATGCTGATAGAATATGGGGATCCGCTCCCAAAACTGGGGAACAATCTGCCCACCCATCCACGAATCCTAAATGTCTAACTACTGAAGGCCATGACACCAACTAACCAATAAAGGAGTTGTTTTTGGGCCTGAACTCCTGCTTGGTTATGGCCAAACAGCTTTTGGTAACCTGGCAGATCCTAAATTGGGCATTTAAATTGGGCAAACACAGCGGGTTAGACTACCAGCACAAAGAATGCCCATATGCGCCAAACTGGAAGCAGACATAGCACACCGTTATTATGAATGCACCGTGTTCAAAAAATACTAGTCCACGATGCATTACATCCTATCAGGCAAACATTTGACACAGAGTATACATCCATCGCAGTTCCTTTTCTTCATAAAAACCCTGAAAATTGGCTCCAATCCAACTATGAGCCTTTATTTACCACTATTGTGTATGGGTAATTCACTGTGCGCTCATAGCCAAGGTCTTGAGCACTAAGCGCCTCCATCACAGAGGTTTGGTATTGAAGAACATTCAGATTATCTCTGATCAGCTCTGCCGGATCTCAGAATTCTCATGCATAATCCCCAGGTATTATAAAGCCGCACGTTTGGCTTTCCCCACCAGATCGCTCATCGCACACAATGAAGCCACTAATTGACTGAGAATCAAATGGCCTGTAAGCCCACCAATGCTAGAACTGTGGCTAGCAATGACATCACTGATCAGCAATGGTCGGAGGTGCTAGAAATCTGATGGTCCAAAACCCCAGTCCTTTTACCCTTGGCTGAATCGCCTGTATTCCGCCCTCCCCTCTTACTTTCCCTTAAATTCTATTTTAATCAAGTATAGAGTTTTTTTTACAAAAGATGGCCAATTTGGTCTAAGGCGCTACATTAAGGCCGTGGTCTCTTTGGAGGCATGAGTTCAAATCTCACTCTGTTCATTTTTATAGAAAACTAGCTTTCCTGGCATGCATTGCAGAGCTCTTTTCCTTTTTAAGTAGGTACATATAAATAAAGGTACAAAAAAATGTACAAAATAAATAAAGCCATATTTTGTGCATCAAATTAAATTTGAAACAGTTTATCTAAGTCTTTTGGTATATACAATATCTTGGACTTTCCATTGTCATGAGAAAGAAGGTTCTTAAAGACATATATACATCAAATAATTTGCACAGCAAATTTTATTTTTTTTGTCCTAATTTACTGGTTCCCTGCATGCCTCTGGAACATCAAGTAATAATTCTAAACACCTAATATAAACCCCCTCAAATCTACAATAAAAAAGTTTTTTCAGACATCGATGAATCCCCCCTTGGGTTGGGACCATCTAGTACTAAAAAAAAAGTTTTTTCAGATTTACAGTTGTCTTTCATTTTAGTAATTATATTTTATTTTATCAACACAGTATTTTAATAATTATGTCCAACTATCCAGAAACTACTTGATGACTGGTAATCTTAAAATTAACAAATTGTCATTGTCAGGGTTGAGATGAAGAACAAATTGAATTCTCCATTTTCCAAATTGAGCTGTAACAAATTGACTCTCAAGCCTATTTGAATGGAGATGACTTCAGGATTCTCATCCCCAATTCTTGAGCCACATGGGGAAGAGTTTCCACTGATCCAGTCATGAGCAGAAAAATACAGTAAGGGCGCCAAACCGGTAGTCAATTCAAGAGGCCATGAAAGATCCTAAATGGATGGAGCCAAAAAGATCCTCAAGGTACCATGTCCCCATGCACCCTATAAATATCTACACCTTTTAGTTTAATAAATTATTGGGTATTCTATTCGATCTTACATTTCCTTTTAACCCATTTTTACTAATTTGCAGCTTTGAGCCTACTTCGAATCTTGACAACAGTCTAAAGAATTGTAATGCCAACAAATGTGGTGCTCACTACATGGGTCTCTGAGCTGTCCTAAGCGAAAATGTCTATCACATACAATAGAGAATACTAAATGCCCTGAAGACTAGTATGCTGGTCAGTTGAGAAGCATTACTCAATGGGTTAGTACTTCAAAATATGAAATACCACCATTACAGCCTGAGAGGTTAAAATTCTGGGCCACATTCCGGTTCTCACCACCCTCTATTGATGGAAGTCAGTACCAACTTCAGTATGATACCCTTAATGAAGTTATCCAACAATTAATAAATGGAATCTACTCCATGGGTGTTTGCTACAGCTGCTCCCATGCCTTTTCCATCTCTTCTACCATGTGGGACCTCTATGACTCATCCCAGATGCTGGCAGGAGAACTCGCCCTGGGTTCTAAATGCTACCTTCGCAACTTTGTTCACCCAGCTATTCATCACCTCCTCCAACTAGTTGGGTTGCACCATCAAGAAGTCTCCTAACAACTGGGGCTCACCCAGGCCTTACACTCTCACATCATCAAGTTTTCTATTGCATTCTCCTCCTTTGTTCATGACAACTTCAAAGACATTATTGATAACTGATGGTTGACCAACAAAAGGTCTGAGATCAAATTGTGATGTTAGATAGCGGGATCTCTAGATATCTTGAGGACCAGCTCCATCAGAACGTCCAACTTCTTGAGGCAACTTAGAATCAGTGCCTTTTCCAAGTTGAGGATATGGTATAGGCCCTACAACAACACGATTGGGAGCTGGCCTCTTGTGACTACTCCTCCAGGAGTGAAGGTCCTGAAGGGTCTAGGGTTCTGAAGGACCCAAAGGACCAGAGGGCCCCTATGGACCTCCAGGCCCCCAGGTCACTCACCACTCACCCCTGATGCCCTGAAGACCCATGGTGGAAGAATGTGATAACAGCCTTGGATGCCCTACATGGTCAAATTCAGAAGGTAGCTCAGGGGTGCAAACCCCAACTGGATGGAGTCCCCCTCAACCCTAGGGTCTCCATTAAGGCACTGTTGGTTAAAATGGACAACCTCAGTGTCTTCACCAAGCTTACCAATAATCACATCTTCTAGCTCAAAAAGCTTGTTGGAGGTTTAAAAACCTGTCTGACTACCCTTGAGAGCCAGCTTCACCTTTAGGGCTCTGACATTTAATCCCTAAAAGAGCAAGTCACAAATAAGGCTTCCATTTCCTCCCTCAACCAAAATTGGGATTACATTCAAGAAGACCTTGAGGGCTTACAGCAATGGCTCAACCAGCAGGCCCCCCGCAACTATGTGAAAACTGAGATCAAGGAGCCAGCGCCCATACTGGTGTTAACACCCTTTCCACTCCTCTTGTAACTAACTTTAAACCTAGTTTCTAAAGAAAGGCTCACCCCCGGCCAAGAGAGCATTGCTACTTCCTGTACGCATATGAGAGCTCCATGGAGGAGGCCACCGACTGGCAGAAGGTAAAGCATATCCACTCCTTCTTAGAAAGCACTGCCTGGGAGATTATGACTTCCCCATTTGAAGGAGTGCAACACTTGGGAACAGTTCCGTAAATCCTAAATCCAAGAGTTTGGCAGCAATCAAACCCTGGCCAACCAAAAACAGGCGTTCATGGGTATCCAACTGAATAAAGGAGAAAGTCCCATGGATTTTGCCGGCCGTTTTTATGCCCAAGCACAACCCTTAGTCACTATAAAATCGTATCATCCTGGATGATGCTATTACCACTGTCATTTCTGCGTTGGGATCTTACCCTGAGGTTCAAATGCATATGATTGGGCAGAATAATGAGTTTACCTGTATCTGGGAGATCAAATAAGCACTTAACGAGATCCCTGCGTTAGTTCTAAGATTAAGGCAACATTTACAGGACCCTCTAACTGTCCAAGAGTCCATGTGGCCAAAAACCAAAAAATCAAAAAGCTCGATTCACATATTGTAACAGTTTCAGATAAAGTGCCAAGTCCTGCTGGAAACAACTTGCTGAGAAGGCGGGAAAAGGGCCTTCAGCATGAAGGACGAGGCGCTCCATGCTGACATCCTTACCCAGCCTTAAGAATCCTCCATAACCTTGAACAAACCTGGAGCTATTGTACCTGGAGAAGAAGTTTTTGGTATCCAATGATAATAAAGAAATTGATAATACTTACTCTTCTTCTAATGACTCTCCCATGTTCCTCATGCTGCTCCCCCAGTTTGGAAGTCTGGTTACCAAGGTCACAGTTTGAGTTCATAAAATTCCAGTCCTTGACATAGTAGACAGTGGCTCTCCCATGAACATCATATCATCAAAGCTATTGAAGCATGGCAAGATCGCTCCAGATTTACCACACCATAATGAGCCTGGCGCATCTGGCCCACAATGTACCCAATTCTCATGGCTTATTCCTCTCTACCATTATGGTTTGAAAAGCTTGATGTAAACACCCCCACTGTTGTGCTAGATAACCCTAGCTATCACCTTCTCCTAAAGACTCATTTCTTACAAGTTTATTCAGCAGTTCTCCATTATGATGGTGGCTTTCTTCCTTACTAGGGCATCAGGTCCCTCTGATCTTTGAGACCTCTCATGATTCGAAAACTAGGTTAAAGCCTGAGCTTGTTAACTGGGGAAGTGAAGCCTAAATAATTGGCTAAAATACACATTAAGGGCTCTCAAGTCTGATTGCCCCCTCCTGCTGTTTATGGGCAAGATGGAATGCCGATCTACTTACCTAGAGCGACTACTCTACCTCCTAGTCCCAAGTCATTGCCAATACCCGGGTCTATGTCAACATCCTCAGGATACCTATTGGAAATCCGAGGCTTAGACAACCCATCCACAAAAGAGGGGCTAACCTGCTTGGGATCCTAGATCCAGCTTATGCCAGATCTATATCAGTGTTTTTAGCCAACCTTACTGACAAACCCAAAATAGTAGGTCCATACAGTCCCGCCGCCTATGTCCACCTTCTACTGGTGGAGGTTATTGCTGATGTCCAAAACTTTGGGGACTTAATGGATTTTTGCTTGAAGAACCTCCATAGGTCAACCTGGCAGCACCAATATCGGCAAGGACCTCTTGGATGACCAACAAAATAAGGTTCAAGAGTTGTTGGAGGAGAATTTGGACCTATTTTGGCCTCAACCAATGACTTCGGAAGAACTAATGAAGTCCTACATCATGTATAAACTGGGGACGCTCTCCCTTCCATTCCTGACCTTACCAAAAAAAGAAAGATTGAAGATGTCCAGGTGAACTTGGAACTTAAACAACTACTCAATGCCGGACTCCTGGTACCATTGTGCATCCCTTGAGGCTCTCCTCTTCTGCTGGTTTTGAAGAAGGATGACAGCCACTGAGTGGTGATGGACTACCAGTGACTCAACTCCATCACCAATAAGGACAGTTATCATCTGCCCTGAATTGATAATTACTCCATCTGCTTACCAGATCTCAGTACTTTTCTGCCATGGACCTTACTAGCGGATATTGGCAAGTTGAGCTTGCCCACAAAGATTGAGCAAAGTGCACTCTCATAGCCAACAAAGGGATATTCAGGACCACAAGGATGCCCCAGGGCCTTTGTAATGTCACGGCCACTTTCCAACATGCCTTGGAGGGATCTTTGGGGACTTGAAGCTATCTTATGTCCTTGTCTACCTCAATGACATCACTGTTTTCTCATGAATCTTTAATGGACACATCGAGCATTTAATTGAGGTCTTTAATTGGCTCTGAAAGGCTTCTGTAAAGCTTAAACCTTCGAAGTGCTCTTTCTTGCAATAAAAATTGGATTTCCTGGGAAAAAGATCTTGAAAGATGGTATTCAGCCTATACCGGACAAGGTAATGCATAGAGAGAATGTTTGCCTTTAAAGAAAGGGATACCCAGGTATTCCTAGGCATGGTGTGCTATTATTGTCAGTTTATCCCCAGTTTTCTGACCTAGCAAAGCCACTGTTCCTCCTTCTTCAGAAGAATGTGCCATTTGAATGGCAGCCAAAACAATAACAAGCTTCAAATGACTTAAGAACTGCTTTATGTACTAAACCAATTCTAGTCATTCACGTTTTGAC